CGCCTTTTTCTCTGTTTCACTAGGGATCCTCTTACTGTAGATGTCCTCATTTTTATACTATACCATCCTTTCTCTTAGCATTTTTCCTGCTGTTCACATATCAATAGCGCAATAGGACGGTAATTTTCAATCCCCTGTACTAAAACAGGACAAATCTTTCAGAACATACCAATGACATTTTCTTCTTGAACTTTGAAAAATTCAGAGCGGGTCAGCTCTGTGTGGCGAGGAACAACGCAGCCTGTTGTATTTGTTGTGAATCTGGTGGCATTGCCGGGAGGGCTGTGTACTTGCAGTATTACTGGCTTTTAAGAATTACTGTGTTTAAGATAGGAAATGAAATGGATTCTGAATCGTTGTCTATCAGGATTAATAGTTTATAAGCAAGATCATGTATTAATGAACTGGCACTCTAGTAACACTTCATGGAATACTTTCTAATATAAAGCAATGGTTTCTGTGGGTGTTTGCTGTAGAAAAAGAGGCAGTGTTGGTATGTACTGATTAAAAAAACCCAATAATTTGCTGGTAGTTTGTTAAGGGAATGTGTGTGCAGTGGCACGTGTGCCAGGTGCGTTCCTCCCGGGCTGGGCAGGGCCGGGGCGGCTGCGGGGGCTCCTCCGGGCCCTGCGCCCCCGGAGCTGCGCGGCCCTTCCCTCTGCGCCGGGCTTCGCCTGTGGCTGGTTCTGCTCCCCGAAGGCTGTTTCTAGCAGCTGTCTTCCTGAGTGGGGTAAGCTGGCATCGGGCGTTGCTTTCGGGAGAGAAGAGGAAGGACCCAGCTGTGGGTGCAGGAACACCGAAGGGCAGACCTGCTGGCCATCTGCGGGGCGTCTCCTCTCTTCTCCCAGCAGGCATCCAGGCTGATAATCCCAGATGGCAGTCACCGGTCCTGCTTGGAGGGGCTCTGGCAGCGGCGTTGGCTGTGGAGGTGAGCCCAGCCACAGCCATGATCTCGTCTTCGTAAGAAGGTTATTTCAGGGGCCCCCTCCATCCAGTCACGGTTACGTAGACCAACTTCCCTCTCTGTGGCGATTGCGTGGTAACATCTCTCTGGTAACAGCAGCTCTTCCTTATATGGGAAGCAATTTTTAGAAAGTAAAGTATTTTTAGCTTCTCTGAGTTGCAGCAGCTGGGAAGGTGGAGGGACCAAAACAGTGTCAACAAAATCTTTCCAGGAGTTACCTGCCTGTGATTTGAGTATGCTGGTTTCCAAACTTGCCAATACCTTCCCAGCCCTCCCATGCATCAACAGAAACACTTTCCGTCCATGTTCCCAGGACACTAGGTCTCGTGGCCTAGCGGGTCCCAGCAGCACTGTGGTGGCTCTGCCCACGGCAGCTCATGCTCCTGCTGCCTTCGGCACTGTCGCTGCCATGCAGCCATCTCGTGGGGATGCCTCCGCACAAGCCCAGAGAGGCAACGGGGCCATCTTGAATTGTTGCTGCTCTTGGCACGGATGGTGCCAGAGGCGGGTCTGAGCGCTTGGTGCCTGTCCCTGGTGGTGGGTGTCCTGGAGAGGTGCCACACGCGGCAGGGCTGCCGAAGGCGGTTCTCCTCCCCAGTTCCTCCCAGAGGTGCTGGGTTTGTGTGCGGTGCGGAGGAGCCTGGCTGCCGAGCTCTGGGTCTGGGCATCCTCTCCCGTGCTGTGGGCTGCTGCAAGCATGTGGCACGTTCAGAGAAAGCAAGCACTTTCTATGGGTTAAAGATGCCGTCAGCTGCTTTGCAGAAAGCCAAGTGTCTGGTCTCAGCAGAGGCGGGTGAAGGGCGAAGGTACCCCAGGGAGCGGGAGTTGGCCCGGGAGCTGTGGGACGAGTGTGGGAGGGGGTGGGAATACATGTGTGTGCATTCCCGAGGTAAAATGGGGTCCTAAGCATTGCTGAGGATCTTCATTCTGGTAAATCTTGGCTATTGCCCTTTTCAGTTTTTGTAAGAAGGAAAGTAAGTGCCTACAGGCACAGGACATGAACGGGGATCCTAGGCAGCGCGCGGACCTCCAGCCCTGGGCACCATCGGCTCTCCCCGGGCAGGAGGCTGCGACGGTACCTGGGCCTGACGGCGCAAGTGAAGAATGGGGTGCTCCTTCTTGTTTAAAGTAATCTCTCAGCTGCGCTGTTCTGGTTGTCTTATTAACACTTAAATATTTACATTGGGGATGTTTTCAAGAAGGTGAAAGGTCCTCTCTAACACAAGGGTTATTCTCGTTACTCTGATGGATTGTTTTTAGAATTAATTCGCAATAGTACCTAAAAAGTTTGTGTCCAACAGATTAAGAAGCTAAAGCTAGGTACCAGCAAATATATTTAGACAGGATCCTTCTGATACTTTTAGGGTTTAATTTTATACTGCTGTAATTAAAAATTGCGTTCAAGAGCTAGCCATCTGGACATCAGATAAAAATTTAAACCTGGCACTATGCAAAGAAGGGAAATCAAAAGATGATGAAACTGAAACTTCATGTTGGGACTGGAGCGGCGGGAGTTCCTTTGGGCAGCTCTCTTCAAGTGCGTTCGTGCTCAGGATGTCAGGCTTCTTGCTGGTTTTAGGTGTTGTAGAGCTGAGGTTTATGTATAGCAGTATCAGAAACCATTTGGGCATAAACTGCACGCTGGGTGTTGACATTGCAGGCATGCTTCTCTGCTGTTAAATACAGCTGATGAAAAGACATCTTAAACCTTAAGCTCAGACTCTAAATGTAGTGCTAAAACCCAGATCTATCGCCCGTTAAGAAGTCGTCTTCCTTTTGCTTTTTTACCAAAGCTGAGTGAGGGAGATACTACTACGCATACCAGGAAGCAAATAAGTGATCCCTAACTAGGATGTATGGCAGCAGCCCAGCACTGAAGACTGGGACAGAAAGCTGGACTGTGTGCGAGGAAGTTGCCTTCACCGGTTCCTCCGGTGGCAAGCGGGCATTCGACTGAGTAACTGCCTGCTGAGGCTGTGCTCGCTGTAGTGATGGTCACTTCTGCGGGATGCCTTCCTGCTCAATCTTTTACAACAGCTTTTGGTGTTGCACGGTGTTTATGGCTGGGGGTGTCTGCCTGGGATGGCTGCACGTTGGTCAGATCTCCATGGGAGTCCCTGTCAGCAACGATGGAGTAAATCTGGATGGTTCTCGAGTTTGGTGTGCGTGTGGTAATCTGGCTAGTGCCTAGACAAATTAATTCAAAACATGGAGTACTTCTTTTGTATTTGGGGGGGAGCGGTGGTCTTTCTTTTCGTGAACTGTCATGTGAAATACAAAACTATTATTGTAAAGTTTGCATGCTCTAAAGCCAAGGTTGTGTTATTTTACGTATCCATTGTGACTTGTGTTTTATTTGATTATACATTGTGTTTTCTGGGAACCAATGTAATATCAGAATCATTTTATATTACTTATAAAAATATTTTGTGCAGAACTTCAGAATGTTTCCACCCTGTAGAGTTCTTTTAGATGCCTATGTATGTTGATTAATGCACTGTTGAGGACCTCTTTTGTTCTAATTTGGTTTTGAGTACCATCACAGAAATGGGACTCGCTCTAGAGGAAGCCACTGGGCAAACTGGGGGGAATTTTAGGGCAGGTCTCTTCAGCTCATGACCCCCAGCCTGTCTCTCGTCCCCACTGCCTGGCTGAAAAGCTGTATTGGTAGCATATGGTGGACCATGAGCCTGGGCCATCTCTGCAAGCGAAGCAGAGCTGAAGCACTGTAGAGGAGGCAAAGTAGATGACAGCTTGTGAAAATTTGCAGAAATGACTTGGCTGCTCCTCTGCAGTCCTTGTGCTCCGTGGCTGCTTGCAAGCCCACATGTGCGGAATGGGGCCAGCTGGGAGACTTGATTCCAAATCACACCTGATCTGAATTAAAATATAATGAAGAGGCAGCCATTGCTGACCAGGTTGTAAACCAGTGTGCTGAGTGAGGAAGATCTAGAGGAACTGCCTCAAGTAAGGGTGAGACCTGCTTACCTAGTGTCAGCTGAATGAGTGTGATTTGGGACTTTCAGAAAACTTAAATATTTCATGAGGTCTAAAATAAGTGAGAGAAGTATTTGGGGATTAATACTCTCTAAGGAAAAGCAGAAGTCAAATCTGGGGATCTTTCATAGCTCTTGTTTCTCTGTCCTCCTGGTTGAAGCACGCTGGAATTTCCCTGTTCCTGATCCTGTGCTGTTGCCACTCAACTCATTTACAGCCTGACAAAGTTGTTTGCGTGGGAATGGCAAATGCCTGAGAAACAGTTCAAAGTCTGGCCTGTAGGTTTAATGCCTGTTCTAGCTTAGCCTTGGATGCTAAGTTCTACGTTAAGTGTTTTGTGTCTTTGTGGAAAACAATGTATATTGGATAATGCAGGGTAAAATGCAAGCTAAAATACTTCAAAAGTACCGGAATAGACTTGGAGCCTGAGTCCTTAATCTTGTCATCTTTTTAAAATAATTTTAATTGCTATATTTGCTTTATTTCCTATGGCGGCAATGTAATTGTGACTGAATGAATTAAATGCACAAGATATTATGAAGTCTTCAGTTAAAAATGCCATGTCTTTGCACTGTTATACCACATTAGCAAGTAACATGGTTTAGTAGAAGTGGCTTTCGAAAGAATCAGTTGATTTTGAGTGCTGGTGTTCAGAGTAGTTCTAGTTTGAGCTTGTGGGCTAAATCTCTGTTCTAAGGCTGGAGTGTACTTTGCCTTTTAGTTTCATTTAGAGAAAATCCAGTAGGCTCGCTCTTACCAACAATAAGTGGAAATAATCAGGATTTTGTTGTTGTTTTATCAACAAAAAATTGATAGGAAGGAATATATTTTTGTATGTGAGAGCCTTCTGAAAGTGAAGTAAAAACATGATGATGTTTCCATAGCTCCAGAAGACACTAAAGACTGTGACTCCTTAGTGTTTGTGTTGTTAAGTATTTACTAACATATTCACAATATATGCAAGATTTGGTCAATGTGGGAACAATGATGCTTTTATTTTTCACTACTCCTTTCTGTTAATAGTTGTTCCATTTAATAGCTCAGCTGAAGAGCTCTGAATAGCAGTCTCTTGCGTTTAACAATATCCTTCTGTTCTGTAAGCGTAGGACTGCTTCCAGGATCACCTCTGCTGGAATTAGAGGGTACTTCATGAGTAACCTTGACTTTGGGTTTTAAGGCTACTAAGTGAAGTGGTTTTGTCCCTGATTATGTTGGAACTGTGAATGAAGCATTAAAAAAAAAAAGTAATCCTTAGTTATCCAAGTTTACTAGGAAACTCAACTTTTTAAAAATAAAAATGAAGTATTATTTGAATTAAAAATGAAAGTCTTTCCTTTTGTAAATATGAAATGATGCTCTTGGACCCTTCTTGCTCATACTTGAACCAGATAAAAATGCAAGCTGAAATGATGGGTAATTGGAAGTAAAATGGACTTAATTAATTTTTGACCTATCAACTTGCTTTCTTTAAAGGTCTTTGAAATCCTTACGTTAGAGTTGGCAGTGCTAGTTTTAATATATGCTTGTTTCCACTGCTATTCCATGTAAACTTTTCAAGGGTATGAAAGAATGCTACAAAACTTGAGCAGGGAGCGTTGTGCAGGCCGTGCGCGGTGTTGTCTCACTTGTGCTGCCGGTTTACCTGACCCAGCCTCGCCAAGAGCCACAGCCGTGACACCCGCTGCACAGTCGTGGCGTCTCCCCGCTGCATAATTAACTCCGGGCAGCACGGCGGTTAATCTTGCTGTTACAGCAATAAGTGTCATTCAAAACTCTTGCCAGGGCCAAAATTGCACCTCAAGGACTTTAATTCTTCATAGGAGACAGATATATATACACCACCACCCCCATATATGTATAGGCATATCATTGCGTTTGGGTGAGTGAATTTGCAGTCTATAATCGAAATTCAGCTTGGTTAGATCAAATTGCTCCCCTGAGGACCATTTCTACCAGTCTTTAGCTAAGTATTCATGATTAATTTTATGTGTGTGCTATGAATCTGCATAGGTTTTGAGAATCTACTTATATTCACTCCTCTCATTGGGCTGTAAATGTAATATATTGCTTAAAAATCACAGCTGAACTGTAGAACAAAGTTGAGCACCTATAATCTATAATGGTCAGGGGGCCTATAATGGTCAGGGGACCCGGACTGGGATTTTGCTTGGAATCTTTCGGGTTTATCCTGAATTTTTTTCTGACTGTAAAGCTGCACATGAAGGATATGTCTAAAGATAGCTGCCAGAGCTGTGCCATTTTGGTTAAAATGGGACCCCTTAAAATAAACTCCCTTCTCTGACACAGACCCTGCAGTCACTGGAACGCAGCGCTGGTCATGCTCTCTGACACACAGTAAATGGGCAACTGCTGGTCACACTCGGCACATCCAGGCTGGGACTCGGCTCTCGGGAGCAAAACAAAGCTACCCGGCTGGTGGAGATGCAAGGTGGATCCTGCAAGGCTACTTGCAGGCTGCTTTAATGAAGAGCCTAGAAATAACCACGTTACTTCTCTAAGGGGAAATTAATTGCTCCGTAACAATACCTGCATTTTCCCCAGCCTGGTGAGATTTCCTTGTCATCATGCCCTGATTTCTAGTTAGGGGCTGCTGCTGTCCACTCTGCAGTGGCATACTGCAGCTTAAGGCATCAGTCACAGGAGAAGGCTCGAAAACAAGGAGGGCTGTAGCTTTCAGAACCCTCCTAAGCCCTCGGGAGTGGCCACAGCTTCATCATTTACTATCTTTTGCACTCTAATCAGTATATACTGTGAAATGATCACTACAGCTAATATCGTTCTATTAAAGACTAGAAATTGGAGGATGGGGGGGGAAAATTCTGGGGTTTTAATATGGTTCAGAAATTTGGGGTGTCTCTTAAGAATTTCTGA